GTTACACCTGATCTTGCGATCTTCATAAGAAAATTTCCTTATTTGGTTTGTATCACCGGCGCAAATAAGTGTACGCTATAAGGGGGTACTTATTTTCTAATAATAAATAAACTACAGTATTCGTCTAAAATTCAGTAAAGTAAGGTTTGATTTCTCTCCATTCAAAAATTCAGTTATATACTCTATTGAAAATCAGCTATTGAATCTAAAATTTGGGTTAAGGTGAAACGAAAATTCAGTAAAGTAAGGTTTGAAAAGCTTAACCAATTAGTTGTTGATTGACGAACATTTTTTTCTATACACTAGTTGCTGTTTTTGAGTCATTAAGCTTTTACGTTTTCTTCTAGTTTCATCATTATGACAAGCGTATATGTTTTATGTTTTCGCATTTTAATAGTTTACATGCTATTTTATTTTATTATTTAAGTGTAATAAGAATTTAATGTTTGCTTTGCGATATATTAATATATTTAGGACTAATGAAAGAGTATAAGAAATTAATTAATATATATATATATAGTTAAAAAATTTTGTTCAGTTACTAAGTATATATTTAAAAGTCAGCACTATATTTTAAACTTAGACCTAGTTCTAATTTAGGATCAATTTCTGAAAATTCATAGTATGACTTGAAGCTCTAGCTTGTAAGAGAAAGATACTGAAATATTAAAAGGTAAACAATAATACACAATCGTCATATTTTACTCTCATATACTTTTCGAAACTTTTCGAAGGTTAGTGTTGTTTTTTGTTAATCTAGATTAGCTCTTTAATAAAAAGATAATAAAAATAGAGCTTTTAAATTATTTACCGATACCAAAACTATTGATACTACCGATACTACTGATACGTACGTACGTACAAGTAATTTAATAAAATCATTTACTGTAGCAAAACTAATTCGTTAGACAGAATGAAAAGAATATTACGTATAATATATATTATTAATTGATAAATATGGATTCATGGCTTTTAGCCTATGTATGTACGTACCCAGCCAATTACATAAGTAACTACATAAGTGTTAGTATAAATATGTAATAGCACATATCGATATGAAAAAAATTACTTAATTTCTAAAAAAAAAACTAATTACAAATTATATATTATTATTATCGTTATACTGTAGTTAAGAAAAATCCAATTCAAAATTCCCATTAAAAGATGAACCCTCATCATCCGTGGTCACTATTGTTGGTTCATCATTAGTGAATCTTCTAAAAGTAAATGGTAATTGTTGAATTGAATCTGGTGTTTTTGGTGAAAATCCTACAACGCGCAATCTTTTTGAATACCAGTTTATAATTTCTTCTTCTTTGTTATTTATACAATCTTTTAATTTTTGTTCCATAGATTTCTTTAAATGATAAAGATTATTATTTGTATCTTGTAATGTACGTTTTGGTGTATAATAAGGCAAGACTCTATATATACAATAATTATCACGCTTATTATTGTTATTGTAATAGCTACGTATTATATTAAAAGAATACGTACATGCTGGATGGATCATTTACTAATGGTTTATATTCCGGAGGTTCTGGTACGATCCCTCCAAAGCTAAATTTTGAAGAATTTGTAATGACGCGTGATTTTGCATTAAGTTTTTTTTTGTAAAAAATATATGTAAAACTTACATTGAAGGAAGTGGTGGTAACTTGTTTGGATCCGATTCAGTATTATCATTAACATTATTAACATTATTATCGTTATTATCATTATGATCATTATGACCATTATGATCATTATGACCATTATGATCATTATGATCATTATGACCATTATGATCATTATGATCATTATGATCATTATAATCATTTGATGGTAATTCCATCGCTTCTGGTATTCTACGGTAATGAATGAAGCTTTATCACTGATTTGATGATTTGATCGAAATCACGTTTGCAGTAAATGATTTTCAACTTACACCCAATCCCAATTATCAACATCCGGATTCATCAATTGATAATGTCTTGCCCAATAACCCATTAAAGCATGAGAAAAATTCATAGTAAATTCCATGACAAATTTTTTAGTACACTTCCAACGTTTCAAAGAATCACAAACAACTTGAAGATCGGTCGCGATCTTTAAGGTTTTAGAAAAATGTTGAATATTATCAAAGCTTAAAATTTCACGACAAATTCTTAAATCATTTTCAGCCACATAAAAATCTCGAGCCAATAAATCTTTTTGCCTATATAATTCAACCATTTGGTCGAAACTTGCATTTGGAAATATGTACCGAACAGTTTCGAAATTCGGATTGTTTAAGGTTCGAACGACATCTTCGAGAAAATCTTTAAGAAATTGACGACGATCCGAAGATGGAATCGGATACGTCATTTTTAATTTTAAAAATGAGAATGTATAAGGGAGTGCGTCAACAGAAGAATTAAGAATAGTTGGACACTTTGACCTTTTTATATTATTATAAACAATGGAGTTGTGGAATTGATGATATGATGTCATGTGATAAAAGTACTAGTAAATCATTATTTCTCTTGGTCTTGAACGTATGCACATAAATCATACAATCACACTAATCAACTAATCAACTAATCACGCTAATCACGCTAATCACACTAATCACATTAATCACTGTATTTAAAATCGATATAATTACTTAATAATAATAATCTGAAATTTCACTAAAGTCAGTTCAAGATTTTTCTTTAAATTACAAAATGGCTCCAAAATGTCATGAAGGTAATTTGCAATAATTATAATAATACCAGAAATAATACTAAAATACAAAAGTATCATTTCATATTGTAATAATACAGTTTTTACAGTCTTTTCTACATTTTTAACTTTTTATATTCTTTACATTAACTTTTTACGTTCTTTACATCTTTACATCTTTACATTAACTTTTTATATTCTTTACATCTTTATACTACATTCATCATCATACATTAATTTGTATATCAATATTTAATATATATTTTTTTATTTTGCAACTCTAGAAACTCCATCATATGATAATATATCCGATTACGAAGATTCAAATTTCCAAGAACTATTCGAGGTTTCATTTCTTAAAATAAAATAAAATAAAATAAAATTCTTTAAAATCATTAAAAATCAATTTTGCGCATATTTTAAAAAGGAATCGTTATTAGACCAGCAACCATCACCTCAATCATATGTAGCAGCAATTCTAAAAATCAACGATTCACAAACAGAACTTCGAATTTCGAAATATCCAAACTTGAGAATTCCTTGTTTTTGGAACGAAACTCGACATATCGAGGTCTTCCAAGATAGTTTATTTATTTATTCATATTATATATATAACACACATATATTATAAATTACAAATATATATATATATATATATAATTTTTTTTATTTAAAAAAAAAAAAGGAATCTGAAGCAAGTTCTGATTCGAGGATTATCGTTACAGTGTTGTACACTATCCATGGCGCTGATGGTAGTCAACTAGATCAAGGTTTTTATTTTAATTTTTTTTAAAAATTGTCTTATATTGAAAACGGTTGATGATAATTTTTTTTCATTGATACTATCTCGATTATACTATCCCGATTATTTTTAAAAAAAAGCATATCATGAATATATTTGTCAAGTAGTGAGTTATAATTTTATTGATCAGTTGAAACAAAAAATTGAAGCAGGTTAAGTCAAATCACTCTTGTTCTCTTATCTGTTACTCATGGTTTACTATTCATAACTTTTTGCTTTTTTACTTTTTTAGATGGTAAGATTTGGATAGATGAAGATTGGTATTCCTTATAACTATATAACGATAAGCGAATAAATGAATCAACACTATTGTTATCATATAACGATAAGCGAATAAATGAATCAACACTATTGTTATTATATAACGATAAGCGAATAAATGAATCAACACTATTGTTATTATATATTGATATCGATATTGATATCGATATGTATAAAATCATGCGAATTAATAAAATGTGACATCATAACCGATCATTGCAAAGACTTCCTAAAAGAAAAGAAAATGAATTGCTTTATAAGAAAAAAAATACGTGTCATGGAAAGAAAAATTAAAATTATTCAGTTTCATATAACAAATAACTCGTGTCATCTTTATTTAAATTCATCTATTTAAACCATTTAAACCATAGATAAATATAGGTAATGTAAAAGATTATTTCAAAAGATAGCTTTTTTTATTTTTATTTTTATTTTTTTTTAAAGTACTACAAAAATATATATAAAGAGTATAAATTTGGAATATATTACACGTGTCTGTGGAACTAATTTTTCAGTTAATACAGTCTCATTGTGATAATATGAAAGTGATAACATGAAAGTGATAAAAAGGTGACATGATATGGATATCATTGATTGATTACTGTAAAGGACTAGTTCAAAAACGAATTAACTAGACTAAAACAATTAGCAATTAGCAAATAGTTAGTCCAACTAAACGTTAAACGATTTAACTAACTAAATAACTAAACTAAACAATTAGTCCAAACAATGCTAATCCAATCAAGAACATAGAAAAGGTTAAAATCAAAGTTCCATAACTAACAGTCGGAATTCCAAATACTGGTAAACAGTATCCCCAAACAACAAGTAATAATCCATGAAGAATCGCTGCTGGATAAACAAGTGTTGACTCGAATGCTATCCAACAACTAAAACCAATATGCGCAAAAATCCAAGTAAACCTCCACATAACACCTAAATATATATGGATAAATTATTTTAATAATATTATTTTAATAATATTTTAATATTATTATTTTAATAATATTTTAATAATATTATTTTAATAATATTTTAATATTAGAAATTATTTTTAATATTACTTACCCCACCAAGCAGATACTTTGGTTAATGGTCTTCCCAAAATCTCTTCCAATTCCCGTCTTTCCTCCGCATATTGACCGTTCAAACCAGATTCCTCTTTATACCATCTAATCTCAATAAAATTTTGTATAATAAAATAGATAGCTTCTGCAGTGGCCCAGCCTAAACCTAACCAGTATGCTATCAAAAAATCTTGATAGTGATAGATAATATTACCGGTTGAAGCATCTTCAAGTGCATAATATAACCAAACAAGTCGTACAAATTCTTCAATGAAACCAATTAAAAGTAAAGTTAAAACACCACTAGTTGAAAATTTAACTTTTATCAACTTTGAAAGTAAAAAGAATGAAGGTTTTCTTAATAAGAAAACTAAACTCCATCCACTAATTCCTAATAAAAATATATTCCAATGTTCTATTATGATCATATTATCATCACCGCCATTATCTCCATCATCTTCATATTTTATTGGCCAAATATATAATAAAAGTATGAATGAAAATATTGCAATGATAATAAAAGGTGTTGTTATAAGATATTCGTTAAACAATGTATTAAAATCTTTTTCTTGTTCTTCTTCTTCATCATCGGAATAACTTGGTAATGATGTATATTGTATATGATGATTATCAGAGGAGTATGGATATTGGTGTATATGGTTTACAAATGCTGTAGGTAAAGAAAGATGTGGTTCTATATTTCCTTGCGGATGACCTGGATGACCTGGATGTCCATGTGAAGAAATCGTACCGTAACTTGGTGGTCTTGGATTAACTAAATGATTTTTATTTGACATTATTATTTATCTTGGAAAAAAAAATGAGGGGTTATTATTTACGGAGATGAGAAAATGTATTTTTAAAAGGCACTTGGTACTGTGGGAATTTAATTCAACGATCAATCAATCGAGAACGGAATGATTTTTATTGAAATGGTCCATCTATTACTTTGAGTACACATAAATAGTTTGTGAAACTCTACTTTTTTTATTTTATGAAAGTAACATACCGATACGCACGTATGTAGGTACGTACGTACGAGTGAAACCGGGGCTTTTGTGTTTATACCAATACTGTTTATTATATTTATTATATTTATCATTATTATATTTATTATACGTATTTATTATATTTATTATATTTATCATTATTATATTTATTATACGTATTTATTATATTTATTATATTTTATTATATTCATTATATTTTATTATATTCATTATATTCATTATTATCAGTTATATTTATATTTCTCATTATTTCCTCCTAAATTTGGTCAATTCAAATGTGTTGTTCCTTATAGAGTTCACCGATTTTATAACACATTTTACCGCGGCAATCTTTCATGACGCAATATCTACTTAGAATGATATAGTATTACATATTACTGTATTACTTGTGTACCATGTAGCCGAACCTTTTACCAATGACTGACGCTCAACGACCATCAGGCGTTTGTTATATGTTGTTTTGTAAATATTTTTCGAAAAAATTACATTATGAAAAAAAGCATTGTGCCCGTTATGATCGGTTATCCCCTTTCAGATTTTATAGATTATCTTGAGAGGTACGATTACATAAGTTTCTTTGGTGATACTGCAAACAATTCATTTTCGGCAAGATTTCAGTTTTAACGGGAAAGTGATGTCACGTGAGGCATGAAATTCACGTGATTAGGCCTAGCCTCGTTCTGCATTTGTCGATCTAACCAATAAGCAACCACTCTGTCACATCTGTACATCACAGCATCGACATTACTTAGCATTACAGATGCTAATTAATTCTAATTATTCTATTTATTCTAATTATTCTCACGAAGAACATCCCAAATCTGTAGTTTCGTACGTACGTATTTACATTATCAAAATTACCTATAAGATGTAGAGATAATCAAAATTTTACGTACTCGCATCTATGTACAAACGGCCCTTAAAGTTTTAAGTTTATTTTAAGGCTGCATGTGTCACGTGAACCCATCCTTCAAACGGTGTTACTTTAACATTTGTCATTTATAAGGTACGTACGTACGTACGTATTTCACTATTTATAATATCAGATATATTTATTTCTTATCATTTATCTGTTATATAGCAGATAGCTGATAGATGATCTACGTACGTATGTACATACGTATGTACATACGTACTCACGAAAATCTACCTAATTTCTTTTGGGATTATCAAAAAGGTATCATACTAAGTATTTCTAACCTTAATTTGATTACACAGGTTTAGGAATTTGTTCTTGTCAAACCAAACGAACCGAAAGTTCTAAACGTTATGTTAGAGAGATTTGTGTCATACTATCACTTTAACGTTATTTTCAACGGTAAAAAAAGCATACGTACAAAAGTAAGTTCAAGGTAAGTTTATATCTATTTTTATCTATTGGTTTTTATGTAGAACCCGATCTTAGGTAATTTTGTGAACAAATAAAGAACAAATAGTTTTCTCATTACGTAATTAATTTACATGGTGCAGTAAATGTCGTGACACTTTATTCCATTTAAGTTATGTGTTGATTTTAAATTA